GGCGGGAGCGGCTTCATCCCCTAGATTGATTTCAATTGATTTTAATTTGCTGACGGCGCGCATGTAGGTGAAACTGAGCCCAGCCGGGCCCCTTCCTGCGCTGCGGGGAATGGCCGCCGGACCGCCCGCCCCGGAAGCGGGGTTTGCTGCCTGCCAGGCATGGGGGCGCTGGCCCCACGGGGTCCACGAGGAGCTTGGAGTTGACAGGTGAGCTCGCGGCCGTAGCTGTGTGTGACAGGGCCCTGAACACCGGGCTGTGTGCTCACCCTCGTGGGTCCGGGCCCCCAAGCCCCCAACTGGGGTGTGAGGGCTGTTAGGGAAGCAGAGGGGGTTCAGGGGTCAAACACTCGGGGTAGGAGCTGCATGTGCAGTGTGAGCCCCGCCACGCCCGCTGCCGTCACGAGTGGGTTTGGGCCCGTGGAGCCCTGGCGCCGGCCCAGCACCGTCTGTCTGCGTGGGCACCCTTGCACCCGCATTTCCTCAGGGCTGGAGTGGGGACGTGGGCCTGCGGCAGTGCGCTCCAGGTGCAGGAGGACTGCTGGGGACTGTGGCGGGGTCCACCACAGAGCTGCGCCCCAGGTCATCCCTCGGGGTGCACGCAGGGCGCCCCACCAGCGTCTCCAGATGGAGCCCACTGGGTGAGCCCAGCCCGGCCGCTCACCTGCATGGGGCTGAGCCAGCTCAGACCTGAGCTCCCCGTGGAGCCGGCGGAGGCCTGGGCATGGGCAGAGCCGGGAAGCCAGACTCTGGGAGCCAGGCCCCGAGCCCCGCGCAGGCTGGCTCCCACCCCGCGGCCCCGCCTGCAGACGGGGGCCCGTTAACTCGAGACAGTCGAGTGCACAGGCCTTGCTCAATTACACAGAGATTATCCTCCTGGGCGGCTTACTTAGCTTGTGGTTTTTAATTAATTCTGCCCCACGAGGGACGCTGCCGAGAGCAGCCTGGCCGCCGCCTCAGGGCTGCGGGAGTTCATGGTGGTGGTGGCCGTGCCAGGTGCCCCTGGCGTCCCGGCCTTCGCCCCAGGGGCCCCCAGCCCCCGTGGACAGAGGTTCTGCTAACGGAGCAGCTTCTGGAAACTGCTGGGCTGCGTCCACGCTTCTGGGGCCTGATCATGGCTCCTGCCCCCGCACCGCTTTGGTCCCTGGGACCCCGTAACAGCAGGTCCAGCGGCAGAAGCCCGTGCAGCCAGTGCGAGCGCCGTCCCCGCGACCCCAGCCTCCCGCCGGGCTCTGCGCCTCTTCGCCCTCCCCCCCACCCCCGGGGAGGCCCCAATGGCAGGCTGACGGGGCAGTGGACGGAGGAGCCGCGTCCTGAGGACGAATGCTCGGCGGAGCGGCTGACGGTTTGCGCCCGGGAAGGTCTGCAACGCTCAGGGCAGCTTCCTCGGCACTCGCGCAGCACCGCACCCGCTGGCGGCCACCCTGCATGTGGGGGGCGGTGCCAGGACCAGGCTGGGCTGCAGGCTCCTGTGGGGACCAGGGGGCCGTGTCCAGGGGCTGGCAGCCCTGGGTCTCGATGCTGCCCGGGGTGCATGGGCCCCTGGGGCCCAGGCCTGTGGCCCCTTCCGGACAGTCTGGGAATCGCCAGTGCCGAGCCAGGGGGCGAGCGGGCCTCGGGCCCTCCCCGGGGCCAGCCCAGCGCCGCCCCCACCGCGCGGGCCGCAGGCCTAGCTGTCCCTCCCGGGGCGCCGAGGCCGGCGGGCGGCAGACGGACGGAGGGCGCCGGGCCTGGACCGGGCCTGGGTCCCGCGGGCTCGGGCCGCTGGCCGGGGGGGGGGGCCGCTCATCTGGGTCAGTTCTGGGGGCCGCGACCGAGCGAGGCCAGCGAAACGAGCGCGCTCGCCTGAGTCAGGGCAGCCGCGGAGGAAGCGGCTCCGGGGGCGCGGGGGGCGCCGGGGGACACGGGGGGGGCGCCCCCGGGTCGGCACCCCCGGGTCCGGCCTCCCCCTCCGCCTCGCGCCTGCGGTTCCGGGACGGTGGCCGCGCCGGGCCGGGCCTGACCGCGGGCGCCTCTGCGGGAGGAGGCGAGGCTGGAGCCGCGCGCGGCCCAAAGTCCAGCGGGCAGCGGGGGCGGGCGCGTCCTGCGCGGCCACTGCCTGGTCAGCGCCCCGCGGCCCCGCCCTTCCGCCCCGCCCCGGCCCCGCCCCTCCGCCCCGCCCCCGAGACCCCGCCCCGCCCCGGCCCCGCCCACCCGCCCCGCCCCCGGCCGAGGCGTCCAGGGTCGCGGGCTCGTGGCCCGACTCCGGCTTTTCCTCGTGGACTTTCCGTCGTGGGGGCGCAGCCGTGATGCCCGTGCGGCCCCGCCCTGCGCCCTCCAGCCGCCCCCCGGGTCAGGCCGGGGCCGGCAGCCGGGCCCGAACTCGGGGCGGCGGGAGCCCTCCAGGGGCAGCCCCTGCGTGCCGGCCTCCCTCGGAGCAGCGCGGGCGGGGTCGGGGAGGCCTCCCCTGACGGGGCGCACCGCGGCCAGCCTGGGGGCGCGGCTGCCCCCCACCCCGCCGGGCGCCGGCTGTGAGTGCGGGAGGGGGCTGGGCGCGGGGCGCGGAGGGGTGTGCCCTGGGGCGTGGGCTGCCCCCAGCAGGCGGGTGCCCCGGACGGCGGGGGTGCCCCAGACGGTGGGGGTGCCCCAGGAGGTGGGGTGCCCCAGACGGTGGGGGTGCCCCAGCAGGCGGGTGCCCCGGACGGCGGGGGTGCCCCAGACGGTGGGGGTGCCCCAGGAGGTGGGGGTGCCCCAGACGGTGGGGGTGCCCCAGGAGGTGGGTGCCCCAGACGGTGGGGGTGCCCCAGGAGGTGGGGGTGCCCCAGACGGCGGGGGTGCCCCAGACGGCGGGGGTGCCCCAGACGGTGGGGTGCCCCAGGAGGTGGGGTGCCCCAGACGGCGGGGGTGCCCCAGACGGCGGGGGTGCCCCAGACGGTGGGGGTGCCCCAGACGGTGGGGGTGCCCCAGGAGGTGGGGGTGCCCCAGGAGGTGGGGTGCCCCAGGAGGTGGGTGCCCCAGACGGTGGGGGTGCCCCAGGAGGTGGGGGCCCCGTGCCCGGAGCCGGCGGCCAGAGCACGCAGCTCGGGCAAGCGCGTGTTGGCGCGCGCCAGGCAGAGCGTCTCTGAGGCTGGAAACACGCCTACACGGGGAGCACCTGAGGGGATGGACACCGGGGCTGCGGGATTGTGACCATCACTCCAGCTCTTCAGCCTTGAGCACCCCGCGCCGGCCGCTCGTCCCTCCTGGCGCGTCCTGTCAGCTGCCGCGGTGAAACGGCACTTTGTGGTGGCTGCTCTGCTGGGCGCGGCCGCCTTCCTGCCGTGCGGGCCGGTGCCTGCGGCTCACGGTGAGCGAGGAGTGTGTCCCTGGAGCCGGCGTCGCACCGTCCAGTGTGGCACGGGCGGTGGTGGGCACAGGGAGCTGGTGTGGCGGCCACCCTCACCGCCCCGGGCCACCCTGACAGCGCCAAGGCCCGATGCCTCCCCGCCGAGCGGGCTCCTCGGCTCAGTCCGGGGAGCCGCCTGCCGCGCCAGTGCCCGGCCTCACCGTCCAGGTCTGCTGGGCTCTGCGGGAGGTGGGCCCGGCGTCTGTGGCCTCACGCCGAGGGAGGAGTGTGTCCCGGGATCCGGCGTCACACCGTCCAGTGTGGGCAAAGCCAAGGCCCGCGGGGCTTCTGGGGAGACCTGGTGGCGAGCGCAGGGCTCCATCAGCGACTCCCCAGCCAGGGTGGATCCTCCAGACAGACGCCCACAGCCGGCCCCAGCCCCCGGCTCTGCGGGCCCCGATGCGGCCGCACCTCACCCTGCCCTGACCGGTGGCGGCCGGAGACCCGGCGGTCGGCCTGCTCTCTGTCGCCTCCCGCGCCCACAAGTGAGGCCGGGACCCCTCTGCTCTCCCGCCCCCACCCAGGCTGGCAGCCGCACCCGCAGCACCCCCGCTGCCCCTGCCGGCCCTCTGCCTGCGCCCCGGGGGCTGCCCTCGCAGGGCCCCGGCCGGTGCCCCGAGGGCTTGGGAGCCACCGTCTGGGCAGCCCCCGCCTCCCGCAGGGAGCACGCGCCCGGCTGGCGGACACGGGAGCCGCGCCCCCTGCCTGCTCGGGGCGCCTTTGTGCGCCGCCTTTGTTGCTCCGGAGGCAGGAGCAGCGCCCGCCGCGCGGACACGTGTCGCCCGCGTCCTGTCGCCGCCGCGGGAGCCGGGATGAATGGCCCGCGCCACAATAGCGCGCGTTGTTGATGTTTGTTAAAATAAAGATATTCAATTTATAACAAAAGGGATTAAAAGCTTAATTCATGCCTGTGTTAATATTTGCCTGCAAGTGCGCAGATAAATGTCGACGCACCTTATCACGGCGAACACCTGTGCGCGCCGGGCCGGCCGCGCTCTCGGCGGGACCTGTGTTCTGCGGAGCTTAAACTTTCATTTCCCAAAATAATGATATCATCCGCGCGCAGACCCAGATGCGCCCCTGCCCCACCCCGCCCCGCCGCGGGCCTGGTGACTCCGGCTACAAAACTGCGGATTAATTGCCGCAGGGATGGATTCCCGCGCTCCTGCTGCGGAGGCCCGGCCGGCTCTGCGCTGCCCGCGGCTCCCGCCCTCCCCGCGGCCGCGGGCCTGCTCGGAAGCCCCTTCCCGGGGCTTGTAAATTGAGTCCGCGTTTAAAGGGTCCCAGGAGAGTTTCTTCTTGCAACAAGATTTGGGATGGATTCTTTGGGCGACGCGTCCCGATGGAAAATTAACCACTCCCGGGACCACCTCCGACCCGCCGTCCGTGGGCTCCTCCAGCGGACGCTGTGCTCCCTCCGGAGCCTGGACAGACGAGGGCAGGACCAGCCAGCCGCGGGAAGCCTCCACTTTCGGCCTGGGCCGTGGCCGCCAGCGACCTAGGCTTCGCGGCGCCCCCGGAGCCCTAACCCTCTTCTCAGGGGGCCCGCCCGGTGGGAGCAGGCCACTGCCCGGCACCCCCGTCTTCTGGTGACACGGCGACCTGTGCCAGGCCGCGCTCCCGGGCACGGCTGAGGACCTCACGCGGAAGCCTGGGACGTGGGCGTGAGTGGTCCGGGGCCGCGGCGGAGGGGCCGCAGGTCGACCCGGGAGGAAGCGCGGGCCGTGCCTCGAGCATCCCAGCGGCCCCGCGGGCCGGGACCGGGCAGAAGGAGCCAGGCAGGAGGGCGTGCTGGCGGCCGGGCGGGGAGGGGGCCACCTGGGCTCAAGACCCCAGATCGGAGCAGCTGGCGGGGGGAGCCGCCGCGGGCCCTGAGGTCCCCCTCCGTGGCCAACGCCGCCACGGAACTGCCTGCCGTAGCCCGTAGCACCGGCGCCTGAGGGGGTTTCGGAAAATAAGCGCCGTGTGCTCTGCGCACGACCGACTCACACCGAGGCGGCGGTGGGCCGCGGGCTGCTGCGTCCCCAGCGGGGGACGGGAGCCCGGGAAGGCAGGAGCCCGGGAAGAAGTAGGGCTCGGCGCTGCAGAGCTGCGGGGGCTCAGAGGCCCCCACACCTGCCCCTCCAGGATGCGGCTTGGGGGCGCGCGGCTGCTTGGGCGGCGTGGGGGCTTTGAGGGTACAGCCAGCGCCTCTCCGGAAGACGCCCTCCGGGCGCTGGACCCCCGGGTCTGTGCAGCTACCGGGCCCTGCCCGAGGCCAGGCATCTCCTCTCCACCCGCCAGACCCGACCACACCCGACAGCCCTGCCTGGGGGTCCGCGCAGGGCCCGGGCAGCACCGCCGTCTGGAGTTGGGGAGGCCCCTCCAGGCAGTGCGGGGTGCCCGGGGACCGCAGTGCGCTGGGCCCGGCGCCCTCTTCACTGCTCTCTGAGGCTCTTGGATTTCTCACTGGCTGCGCTCGGTCCACCTGGCTGATTTCTTGCCCCGCGTTCCCCTGCCCTGCTCCGGCCCCGTGGACAGGCGTCTGTCCCCACGGTCCTGGCTGAGGCCACCTTGAAGGACACAGATGGCGGCTGGGCCAGGACAGGAGTCTCGGGTCAGCCGGGCCTTGGAGGCGACAAGCCGGGGCCGCGGGTGGCTGTCGCTGGGCTCCTCGCCGGGAAACGCAGCGATGATGAAGTCAGGGAAACGGGAGCAGCCCCCGGCCCCGTCCTGTGGGCGCCGTGCTGGCCGGGCCGCGTCACTGGTCACGGGCTGCCCCGGGGACGCCTGCGCCTGCTGGGCGCGCCCACGGGTGGCAGCGGGGAAGCCCTCCTGCTGTCCTGAGGCCGCGTTTCTCACTTTATTTCCCTCCCAGGAAAGGGGGTGGAAAAACCCGAGGCCCCTGGTGCGAGTGGGAAGACACGGAGCCGGGAAACAGGAATGAAACTGACCACAGGGCTGCGTGGACGCAGAGCAGGAGCGTCTCCCGGGTGTCGCTAGGCTGTGTGTGCCGTCATTGAAACTAAGTTCCAAATCCTCCGAAACAAGCTTAGTTACTTTTGGAAAAAGAGGCCCGCGGGGGCTCCCGTCCGTCCTGTCCAGAGCCGCTGGGGCCTGGGGCCTGGGCCCCGCCCGTCGGGCCTTGGTTCCCCAGTAGAGAGGGCCCAGCGTGCTGGCCGCGATGAGGCTCGCCGGCCCCCTGCGCTGGGTCAGAGGGCGCTGCAGGACGGCCACACCTGGTACTGGCGGGCTGCGAACTGGGTGCCCCCAGGGCAAGAGCCCCGGCCAGCTTGTGGCGGCGCTGTCTCAGCAGTGGGGATGTGGAGCGGGACCCCTGGCTGTAGGGAACTCACCAAGGCCTCAGGGTGGACGGCGGAGCCGCGAGACCCGGGTCAGGCCGGCGCTCAGAGGGGAGGCGCGCGGAGGGAGCCGGCCGGGGCTGCTGGTGGTGGTCTCGCTGGGCGGCGCGGCAGCGGCCTCCGAACGGCGACCCGGAAGGCACTTTGGAGGGAGGCAGAGGCCTTGTCATCTTCCTGGGGGGTGGGGGGTGGGGGGTGGGCTCACCCACCCTGCAGGGTGCCCTGGGCACCCCCGGCTCTGCCCCACAGGAGCTGCGAGCGCCCCCTCAGCCGCCCAGCCTGAGCCCTGGCCCTGTGCGGGGACGCGCCCGTGCACAGTGGCGCCCAGCTCCGGCTGGATCCCTAGTGGGCCATGGCTCCCGAGCACCCGTGGAGGCACGAGGCTTGCTCTTGGTCACCCCAGGCCCGCCGGCCGGCTGGGAAGGTGTCGTGAGGGCGAGTGCTGGCGCCATCCTGGCCCCGGAGGCTTCTCGCCAGGAGGGTGCCGCAGACCCCTCGGGACGGGTGGCGCGGGCAGGCACCAGGACCAGTCGCCTGCTCCTGCTGCTCTCCTCAGCCTGTGGTGGACATGCTGGCTGGGCAGGCCTGGGCTTCCGGGAGGCCCCGGGAGTCCAGAACGTGCGCGCACTCCCAAGTGCCGTGGGTGTGAGCTGGGCGAGGTGCCCGCGCCCCTCCGTGCGGCAGAGTCTGCTCCATCTGCCTGGCACAAACGGGTGTGACTTCACAGACCTCAGCACCCACAGGAGCGAGCCCCGGGAGGCCGTTGCTGGCTGGCATGAGCTCGCTGGGCCACGCGAGCCTGGGCAGGCCTGGGGGCCGCCCGTTGGGCCACGGGCTCCAGGTCGTGGGCAGGAGTTGCGGGGCAGGCGGGATGCTGACTAGCCTGTTGGGCTGACAGAGACTGAGCTGCGTTTCCTGTTTCGTTTGTTGCTTTTATTTTGTTTGTTGCTCTTCGGGCGGCTGTTGGTTCTGGCGGTCGGCAGGCGCTTCAGCAGGAGGGCAGGCGGTCAGCGGCTCCATCTCAGGGCCGACTCCGCGGCCGCCGCGTCTCCAGCGAGGCCGCGTCCCATGGCTGCGCCCTTGACCGTGGCGGGTCGAGTCAGCTTGTCTGGGGCTGCAGAGTGTGCCTGGGCGCACGCGTGTTGCTATTATGGGGTTTTAAACAGCCGGTCAGGCCCCGGCCAAGTAAAAGGGAAATAAATATGGACGGGTTGCTCGGAGCTCGCTCCGCAGACTGTGGTTTACGGCCAGAGCAGGGGGAGCTGAGACTGGACATTTTTAAAGATAACTGTGTTTGCAGGAGGATGGGCTGCGTCTCCCCCTCTTTCATTTACACAGAATGACTTTTTTCTTTAAACACTGGAACTTTTGTTATGCTAACGAGGCAGGGACCATTTCCAATTCAATTTCACCTGGGCCTGGTCAGCAGCTGCCTTCCGCGGCCGCCCCTGGGGACCTGCTTGTCTTTAAGCTGTAATTTAGTTGGAGCCGCCGTCAATTCCGGGCTCATTACATTTGCAGCGATAGCACAGATATTTCATCGGGGCCGGGGGAGCTCGAGCCCCCGGAGCCTGTGGGGCGGGCGGCGGACCCTGGCCCAGCGGCTCTCGGGGCTGTCCAGCGGCTCTCCCCGGGGCCCTCAAGGTCCCTCTGGGGAGTCTGGCTGGGGAAGCACGGCTCCGCCAGTTGTGCAGAGGCCCCGGCTGGTTGTTAGCTCGCGGCTCCAAGTGGCGGAGCTGCCGTCTTGGGAGGTGCTAGACGCCACACCACAACGGTCAACTTGACCCAAGAGCCCCGGCCTCGGCAGAGGGTTTGATCAGGTGTCATCACAGCGGCCCGAGCCGCCTCTGGCACCGGGCCCAGGGGGCTACCTGGCCTGCAGGGCAGCAGCCACGGTGCTCTGCAGGGAAGCTGCCCCTGCACCCGAGGTGGTGAGGCTGCAGGCCGGGCCGCTCGGGGCAAGACGGGGCGGTTGTGCTGCCGTTCTGGTGCCTTGGGCAGCCTGCCGCTGGCCGCCCTCCCCACGCCAGCAAGAGCCCTGCCGGCAAGAGCCTGCCCTGGCCCGCTGGCCCGCCCTGAGCAAGCTGCAGCGGCTCCCGGCAGACCTCACAGACAGACGACTCGAGGTCAGGCTGATAGCCCCTCCCCAGGTTGGGCTCCAAGTAGATGGGGGTTCTGCCCGCCCCGTTCCTGCCCACACGACAGCACTAGCCAGGCCTCTCGCCTCTGCAGAGGCCCTTGAATAAACTGCTGAAGAACCTCGTGAGTCTCCCAGAGCCCTGGGCAGCTTTCCCGGAGCGGGCTGGAGGCTGTCCCTGGAGTGCGGCCAGTGAGGCGGGGGACTGGCTGCCAGCGCAGAGGCCATCGGATGCTGCTCCGGTACAGCTGTCAGACAGGCGGGCGGCAGGGAGGAGCCCGGAGCAGGGAGGCTCGTGGGAGCCACCGAGGGCTGGGGCATCAGCGGGTGAGCCGGGCCCCCAGACGGCGAGCGGAGGCACCCTGGGGGCGGGAGTCTTCTCGAGTGTTGTCCTCCTTGGACTGCAGATCCGCTCCAGGTGGCTGCGCCCGTGAGCTGGAGGGAAGCGCCGCTGAGGGAGGACAGAGTCCGGCTCCCTGCTGGACGCTGGACGCGGGCTCTGGGCACTGGCCCGGCCTGTGAGATGTGTTCTGCTTCGGGGCAATCCGGAGCCTCCGGCTGCGGCATGGCAGACAGACGCGGGAGGAGAGGTGCTGGGTGGAGCCGGCGGCCAGGACAGCCGGTGCAGAGTGACCGGTCTGGGACGGCCTTCCTGTGCCCCGCCAGTGAGAACCTGGCCTTCCCCGCCCATCCAAAGGTGCCTTAACAACCCTGTACGTGGCAGCCCGCAGCCCTCTCACCAGGCTGGTGTCTCTCCGTCAAGCGTTCCGGCTGGTGTTGGTGGCCCCGTCCCCAGCACAGTCGGGCGGGAACCAGCAGCCGGCGTCCCTGTCGTCCTGTCAGGGGCGCACCACCGCCCCCAGCGTGGCCCTGCCCGGGCCGCCGACCCCGGTGCTGCGCCTGGAATCCTCTCCCCCGGCTCAGCCTGGGAAGGCCCGAGGGCGCCGCGTCCTCTCAGCCGCCACCTCTGGGGCACAGCCCGAGGCCACGAAGACGAACAGTCTCTGTTCACCGGCAGCGGTCGGCCTGCGTGTCCCCTGCGTGTCCCACAGGACCCAGCCCCAGAAGGAGTAGCGAGGCTGGGCTGGCACTGCCCCTGGGCGCCCCTGCATCGCGGGCGGGCACGCGCCACGAGGTGTCTGTCCGGGAACGTGGCCCGGATGTCACTGTCTCTGTGACCCGGCGCGGCTGTGTGTCTGGCTCTCTGCAGCCGCGTGGCTGGGGCAGCAGCGACATGAGTGGGTGCAGCCTCGGCGGCGCTGGCCCGTGCCCCCCCCAGCTCCGCCCGCCCCGTCACTCTGGCAGCGCGGAGCCCCGTCCGGCTCTCCCCGCAGTCAGGCTGTGCTCCGGCCAGAAGAAACAAAGCGCAAACCAACTGACTTGAAAGTCAGCGGGTCTCCCTGGGGGCCTGGGAGTGGAGCGCCAGGGGAGCCGGCGGCCCCAGACACGGGCGCTCCTCAGCAGCAGCCGCTGTGGCTCCGGGCGCGCCTGGGGACGGTGCCCTGTCTCTCCAAAAGCCCCCAGGGGCTGGGTCCAGGTGACAGCCCCAGGTGACGTCCTGCTCTCTGCCGCAGCGACCGTGGGACCGGCACTGCCCTTTGCCCGGGAAGGGCGTTTCCCTACGCAGTGGAGCGCCAGCCCAGGGGCCACCCCCAACCCGCGCCCCGTCCTGACCCCACCCTGTCCTGACCAGCCGTCTGCACCCTCCGGCGCCCGCTCTGCGCCTCCATCCTCAGCCTCTGGCGCTGGAGCCAGGACGCGGCCTGTGGAGGGGCGGGCGCGCGCTCTCGCGCTCTCACCACAAACTGGCCCGGCCAGACCCCGCGGCCACAGTCTCTGCGTGAGGCGCAGGTGCTGCGTGTGGAGGGGAATGGCGGGGGGCCCGCGGGTGGGCTCGCTCGCGGGGCCCCGGCAGTGTCCGCCCTTGATGTCCTCTGACCCCCACTCAGGCCAGCGCCGGCCGCCCTGGGCATCAGCAGGACGCGGTGGCGCTGGCATCCCCAGATGAGGAAAAGCAGGAGGGCGTCTCTCTGGCCGTGGGCCCCATTCTCCCACCTCAAGGGGGCGCAGGTGCCCCCCAACTCCTCCCAGGTATCCCAAGGAGTGTTCCTGGGGGCGCGGGCCAGAAGCTCCGCCGTGCCCTGGCCTTGCTGGCTGCCGGCCTGCCATCCCGTCCCTGGGCCTGGGGCTGTGCTGGGTGTCAGGCAGCTGCCGTCCAGCCTGCGTGGTCCCTGCCGGGCAGACGTCAGAGGCGGCAGTGGGGGGCCCTCGCCCCACCCCTGGAGGCAGCGGTGCCCGGTCCCGCAGTCGCTTCTTTGGCGCTCGCTCTATATTTCTAGGTACCTGCTTATTTAAAATATGCTTGTGTTGCTACTTCCAGATTTTTCTAGAAAAATAGATGCTGTTGATTCACGAAGGCTAGAGAGACTCAACTCGCTCCTCCCTAGAAATGCCCTCCCACCTGCCGCAGCCGCGGCCAGCGGCCGCGTCCATTCCCGGGCCCAGGGGGGGCCGCGGGGGCCGCGGGGGGCGGCATCTCTTAGGCTTTCTGTTTCTCCTGCAGCTAATAATTGTTGTGGCTCCACGAGATGACTCTTCCGTGTCCCTCCTGGAGTTTACCCCTGGGCGCTGGTAGAGGAAACAGCGCGCGATGGGCTTGTCTGCCGGAACCGCTGCCCAGGCCCACCCTGCCTGGCTCCTGCCGTCCTGCCTGACGTCGGGGACGGCGCCTCTGGCCGGCCTGGCCCTCGTCTCTCTCTGTGGCCTTCCTGTGGCGGCCCGCGCCTCCGCCTGCCCCTCCGGTGCCTGGGAGGACAGTCAGGCGCCTGGTCTGTTCTGCGCAGGGTGCTGGCCCCTCTGCTCCGTCTCTGCGCTCCGTGTGGGCGAAACCACCGAGTCTGTTTCCCTCCCTGACTTCTGCTCGGCCTCCTCCCCAGCCCGAGCCGCCTGTCACCGCGGCGGACGTCCAGTGTGTGCTGGGCAGTGTCGCCGTGCAGGCGGGAACGGCGGGCAGCGGCCTCCAGCGGGCAGCGGGTCGGGAGCTGGGCCCGGGAGGGGCTCGGGGGCGCCTCCCACCAGTGCTTTGAGTCCTGCGGGAGACCCCGGGGAGGGGCGGGTCTCCTGGCGGGTCTGTTGTTGGTATTTCAAGGGCCCTCCCCGCTGCTTTCCGTGGGCTGGCCCGTCTCCACGCCCGCCCCGGGGGTGCGGCGGGGTCTCGCGGGGGCCCGGCTTGCAGCTCCCTGGAGCCGGGTGAGGACGGCGTTTTCCACACGCCTTCGGCCGGCTGGACGTCTTCCTTGGAGCGCGTCCCGTCAGCTCCGCGCCCGCTCTGCTGGCCTCTCTGTGTCTTCCGCTGCTGAGTTCTGCGCCCGCCGTGTCGTCCCCCGGCCTGGTGTGGGGGCCGCGTGGCCCCTCCCGCGGGGGGGGCGTCTTTTCATTTCCGGGAGTTTCTTGTGTTGTGTGGAAGGCTTCGTGTCGAGGTGGTCCCCTTGGCTTGTTTTTGCTTTTTTTGCTCCTCGCCGCTGGCGCTGCGCCCCGAGCCCGTCACCAAGGCCGGTTTCGTGGCGTGTTCCGCCGTGTTTCCGTTGAATGTTGGTGCTTGAGAGTTTCGGTTCTCACACCTAATTCTTTAATCCACCTTGAGTTGGTTTTTGTGTGTGGTGTGAGATCAGGGTCGTCTTCCCGGCGCCGCTCGTGGAAGAGACTCTCCTTTCCCGGGTGGGTCCCGTGGGCTCCTCCGTTGCAGAGGCCGCGTGAGTTTAGGTTTATTTCTGGGTCTGGACTCTGTTCCGCGGGTCCGTGTGTCTATTTCTATGCCAAGACCACGCTATTTTGCTTACTCTCGTCTTGGAGCGTAGCTTGAGGTCAGGGAGCGGGTCACCTCATTTTTCTGGGTCAGGATTGCTCTGCCTGTCCGGGGTCTCCGGTGTTTCCGCGTGTGCGCGTCTCCCTGACGCTTCTCCTTTTCCCTCAAGGATGCCCTTGACTGCGATGGGTCGGCGCTGAATCTGGGCCTGCTGTGGGTAGGATGGCCATGTCAGCAGGGCCGGTTCTTCCAATCCGTGAGCAGAGAATGCCTTTCCATGTGTTTCTGGCTTCTTGCTAATTATATTTTTAATTCCTCAAAACTCTTAACTTCTTCCTTGGAGCATGACTTGGGGGTTCTTGCACTCCGCGAAGCCCCTCCTCTTTCTCCCTCATGTTGCTAGTGACGGGCTGGTTTTAATTTTTTAGTTTTCCTCTGACGTCTGCACGAGCTCCCTGTCTGTCCCGGGCCCATCTCTCCCGTCCCCGTCTCTGCAGACCCGTGCTCGCCAGCCTGCCCGGGGTGAAGCAGCATCCGCGGGAGCAGCTCAGGGGAGCAGCCACGCAAGCGCCAGGGGCTGTGTCCGGCTTGTTGGGAGCAGCCACAGTCAGACATCAAGGCGTGCAAATCACTGATATGTCACGTGAAAAAGCAGGCAAGAAACACGCAGACGCATCAGCCCAAGCGCACCGCCATGGGCTGCACCCAGATGCCCCGTCATGGTCAGCGCCCCAGCTCCAGCCCCCCCTTAGGCGGCACCCAGGGAGCTGGTGAGCTCCCGGCGGGTTCTCCCGCCCCCTGCCCCCGCACCCCAGCGCCTGCTGGTAAACCCGCTTCCACAGTGAAGCCGTCGTGCGTAGCTGCTGACCGCCCCACGCCATGTCCCTCCGGGCTGCCTCCCGAGTCTGAGGAGGGGCCTGGTTGCTCTGTGAGCGGCGCCAGCCTCCACCTCGGCCCCGGAGAGACCCCGTGACGCCCCCGCAGGCCGGCGGCCTCCTGTCCTGAGTCGGAACTTAATTTCCTCCAATGTTGGTGCTAAACAGAGACCAAAACTTTGCTTAACGATCTTTCTGAATCTCACAAAGCCATTTTATCAAGGTGCTCACATCACAGAACCGTGGCTGCTTCCCAGGGCCGAGGCCATGTCCCTCCAGCCGGGCTTCTCGCAGGCGCGTCCGGTGCCGCTGGCTCTCCAAGCGTTTCGGCGCCACGGTCGCCGTGGGGCTGCGCCTTCTGCCCCCTCGCTGGGGAACGCGCAGCAGCGCTGCAGCCCGGCTCTGCCAAGGGCCGACGCTTGCTGTGCGGGGGACTGGCTGAGCGCCCCCGCCCGCGGTGTTTCCGGCCGCGGAGGCACAGGCTTCTTGGGATGATGGTGACGTTTGTTTGAAGGTGATGTTTGGGGTGATTGAAGACGGGTGCGGCGGACACGAGCTTGGGTGCTCCTGGGCCCATGTGCTCCCATGTCCCAGGTACGCGACGGGGAGAGGCCCCCTGTGCTCACAGCCTGCCCAGCCGGGCTCCGCCACCCTTCTCAGCTCAGCCGGGCGCGGACACCGGCGCCGGCCTGGCCGGTGCGAGGGCACAGCAGGCGGGGTGTGTTGGCGGTCAGAGTCGCTCCAGCAGATCACACATCGTGGGCTTTGCAGAGGAACCTGCTTCAGAAGGTTGAAGCGGGCAGTGGTCACCCCCAATTCACATGTTGGCAGCAGGGGCTCCCCGCCAGGCGCCCAGCATGGCCCCCACCCCGCCCCGCGCTTCTCACGGTGGGAAATGCAGGCAGCGGATGATGGGATCGTCTATGGCTCACGGCGCAGTCCCCGGCGGCCCCACGGGCCGACCCCGGATTGAGCTGTCGTGCCGCCGCGGGGGCCGGGCAGGACTCAGGGCCTCCACCACCGCGTCGGCCCTCCGGCCCCGCAGACAGGCCTGTCCCTCTGGAGGAGAGGCCGGGCGGCGCCTGCGGGGCAGCGGGGAGCCTGGGCGAGGACGCCACTGGCCGCTTCTGCCCGGACGAGGCTTCCAGACGTAGCTCACGACTCGTACCGGGCGGAGACGCCTGCTGTGTCGCGTGGAAACCCGCTCGGCCCGCACCCCGGCTCGCAGCCGCAGAGGAGGCCTCGCACACACAAACGCTGGGAGCTTTCCGGGGGGACGCCGTCCACGCGCTGGGCGTGACCCTCCATTCCGCCGTCCAGCCGGCTCCGGCGGGGCCTGGGCTGACGACCAGGCAGGGACGGCTCATGGACTCGGCTCTGGCCACCCACACTGGCCGCCCTGGGCGCCGGGAGCCGGCTGAGGCCGCGGGCTGTGCCAGGCGGGCACTCCCCCAGAGGGAAGCTGCGGCCCCCAGCCGGGGCCTCCTGCCCTGTGCCTGGGTGGGACCAAGGGAAGCGATTTGGAGTGAAAGGCTCGGCCGCCTTTCTCCGGGCCGTGGCCCAAGCGCACGTGGCGTCCAGCCTTGGGGGACCAGCCCGGCGGCCGCCAGCCTCACCCCCATTTCCCCGAGGTGATGAGCTCTCCGTTCTCTCAGCCTTCCTGTGGGTTCCTGAAAAATGGGGTGAATGTCAAGATGGGATGGTCCTCCTAGACCCGCAGGGAGCAGGGATGGGGCTGGCGCCCTCATGGGCCCCTGGGGATGCAGGGGACAGCTTCGCTGCTCTTGACCACAAGGGCCAGCAGAGGGGGGGGCATAGCCAGCCCCCTCACCCCCAGCGCCCTCTGGCTGCGCCCACCTTTGCCAAGACCCTCGGCCCGGGACCTGCTGACCGTCCTGCTGGAAAGCCCCGTAGCCAGGGCTGCCTCCCAGCTGGTAAAGGCCGGGGCGACCATGGGCGCTAGGGAGCCAGGGCCGGCCTCCTGCTGGTAGGCTCGGAGGTGCCAGGCTGTTGAGGACTCGGGTGCTGGCAGAGCGGCGGGCACCTGCGTTTCACCTGTTGGTGTGAACCCCTGGGAGCAGCGTCTCCGATGCGGCGGCTCTCTGTGCTTCCCCGGGTGAGGGCCCTGCAGGCCCACTGAGCTGGGGGGCCAGCCTCTCGGTGGCAGTGCGGGCAGGTGCCAGGCTCCGCGTGACACCAGCTTTTGTGGGGCTTGTGACCTTCACGGCAGGCGGCCGGTCGGGGCGACTCTGCCTCCGCTGCCTGCTGAGCCTGGGACGCAGGCGCCTCCCGCCTCCAGGCTGAACCCCGCGCTCGGGCCTCGTCCCAGCTGGTGCCGGGCTGCGCGGAGACACCGTGAGCTCCCGCCGCTCCCTTGGTCAGCAGGCACCAGAATGCTGCGCCCTGCGGGGCCGAGGCTCGCGCTGCTCGCGTCAGAGCAGGTGCCGCTGGTCGGAATTGCACAGGCACAGACCACAGGCGTGCGGGGCGCGCGGGGCTCCCGCCCCTCTGGCCGTCAGTGTTTCCCTGGGCGCGCTCCGTGGCGCCTTCTCCCAGGTGGGAGCAGCAGCCGGGGAAGCGACACGGAGCAGCTAATGACACTATGTGTCGCCGTCCTGGCGCAACAGCCGACGGGCCGGGAAGCTGCATCTGATGAACGCGGTGGTCAGGGCTGGAGCGGCGGCCCTCACCCGGGGGAGACCCGGCGGTTCCCAGCCCCGAGGCCCACTTCATGTGATGAAATAACTTGCAGCCTTTTGACAGACAGAGCAATATTTCTTTACCCCCAAGTCTATCATCGAGGCTTTTGAGCTTCACTTAATATTTTGAATAATGAAATAGAGGGATCTTTGTTTGACGGCTCGAGAGCAGAGCAGCACCGCGCGCCGGGAGCTCATCATGCTGGGGCCGCTGCCGGGGGGTTGGCAGGGAAGGGGATTTCTCAGGGTTGAGCAGATTCTTCTGTGAGTTTAACGGAGAAAAAAACTTAAGAGCACAATTAAGCACAAAAAAATTCCGTGGAATTCTTTTCTCCACGGAATTGAATTTCTGTATCTGATTCCAGAATTAGTTCACCAGTGTCCTGGGGTGTGTGAGCTGAAAACAGGCACTGGGGAGCCTTCCCGTGCACGCGTGTGTGCAAGCGAGTGCATGTGTGAGTGTGCACCTGTGTGTGAGTGTATATGTGGGGGGTTATTGGAGTTTTGTTGCTCATCTGTCCAACATCTGGCTTCATGGGGTAGAAAACAGCCCCAGGAAGGTGGGTCTCTCTGTCACCCCCAGATAAGCTGCAGAGCTGGGGCACCCGCCCCCCCGCCCCCACGTTAGCCGATACTTCAGAGCCTCTGTTTTGATTTGGTTGCTTGTTTTCGGGTAGGAGATTCAATTCTGTCAATTAAGGTAGAACACCTGCTTTTTCTCTGATTTTTCAGCAGATTTACATTTTGAAAAGCAAAGCAGGTGCTTGAATTTTGTAGCATTATAATGAAATGGGAAATTGTCAATGTCACCAAAGTGATCGAAAAATTTCCAAAATGAAGTTGAATTCATGAAATGTGATGAGGCTGTGGCTCTAGGACCCCAGCGCGGCTCTCGAGGGAAGGTGCGGGGCCGAGGACGGGGTGGGCGATGCGGGCGCCAGCTCGCAGAGGGCGTCGCGCAGACCGTGGGGCGGGGGGAGGTGCTGAGGGGCAGCGGGGCTGGGCCCTGTGTTCACGGCAGATCCGCAGGCTCCAGCGGTGGGGTGCAGAGCGCCTGCGGCTCCTGAGTGGGGAGCGGCGAGGGCAGCCGTGTCAGGGACTCGCCGGCTGCAAAGGGCCATGGCCCCTACTGGCCTGGGGGGGGCGGGGGGTAGCAGGTGGCACCGTCCCCCTGAGTGGGGGTGCGCTGAGGCAGCGTAGACACCCCGGGACCGTCTCTCTCCATTCTGAAGTTTGTTTCCTGTCGCTCCCGTTGGGCGTGGTCTGGGGACAGGAGGGAGTCTGCGCTGAGGTGCGCGGTGGCGGGGGGAGGCGGCTCCTGCGGAAGGCTGGCCGAAAGCCTGGCCTGGCCTGGGGGCGCCTCTGGGCAGAGCAGCGGCAAAGCCTGTGCCCTCGGCCGGCTCCCCGCTGCTCCAGGCCCCAGGGATCGCGGACGGCCGAGCCGGGAGCCAGGCGCGGGGTGGGGTGGAGGGGGCAGTGGAGTCCTCCTGCCGGGCGGGCTGGGCGGGCATCCCGGCTGGGAGCAGTGTGAGGGCGCTGGGGCCGCCCACCCTCTGCCGGGCCTTCTGGACCCTGCGGTCTGTGCGTGGCTCCTCTGGCTCTGGGGGCCGTGGGGATGTGTTTCCAGGCTTGGCCTTCTGATGTGTCCGCCCGTGTGCAGCCCACGTGCCCCACGCCCAGCGCCTGCTTCCCGAGCCCACTGGTCCGCCGGTCACTGGGAGGCTGGACGGCGGCTGCTGAGCCAGCTGCCCCACCCCTGGCCACTCCAGACCCCGTGGCCGGGCGGGCCCCGGCCGAGCTCAGATCTCGGTCTTGCTTATTCCAGGGATGGTGAGGTGTGTCCGGCAGGCCGGGGCACATGCTGCAGGGCTCTGTGGGGCCCGTCCCCGGCCTCCGGGCACCATCGTCACCCGTGACACCACGGCCCCGCTCTGTACCAGCGGGACTGGCCGTGGCTGGCGGGAGCAACCTGGCTTCTGTCACAGAGCCGCCCGCGCCTCCGCGCTCAGCCCGGGGGCGGCAGGTCCACGCGGCCAGCGGTGCCATGGCAGCCCCACCGGGGCCGAGCGCTTGGCCAGGAGCCGGTCCCAGCAGCCTCGGGCGCTCTGACGGGCCATGCCAGAGAGTCTGCTGCAGTGAGTGGGACAGACACGTTGGCTGCTCTCAGGGGAGCCGCCGGCACCCTCACCCCGTCGGGGACCCCGGGGAGCACGGTTTCTGGGGCAGCCCTTTGAGCGCGACCGAGACGGGACTCGGGGGCTCGCAGCAGCGGCCTCTCACACGCTCATCAGCTCCTCGTCAGCCGAGACCGTGACCTGTGCCATGGCCCTCCGATCACCTCGGCTCTTTCTGGAAAGCGACCATTTCTTTCAACGAGAAAACGCCGGTGAGGAGAGAGGCCTGTTCCACACGACGTTCCACACGACGGCAGACGGCCGGAGTCTGGGCGGTGCAGACGCTGCCAGCCTGCCAGCCTCGCGCCTGCGGGCACCCCAGAGGCCCCAGCCCGCCCTGGGGGCTGCCGGCCGGGGGAGCCGAGCTCAGCGGGGCCCGTGCAGCCCGGGTCCCTGGCGCCTTCGCCTGCGCCCAGACCTCAGGGCCGGGACTTGACTCTCGCCGGAGCCCCGCGCCCTGGGCCAGAGCACAGCCCTTGGTGCGCTGCCTCGGCCCTCCCGGCGGGCGCCGCGTCTCACCCTCTCCGGGAGTTTGTTGGGCTTTTCACCATTAAACCAAGTTGTCTCTGGCGCTGGAGAGAAGCGGCCCCTCCCCACCCCCGGGCCGGCGCAGGGCCAGCTCCCAGCTGTGGGTGCTCTGGCCCCTGCGGTGGGCCTGTTCCCTCCACTGCCCCTGCGGGGGGCCTGCCCTCCAGGCTGGCTGCTGGGAGGTCCCCTGACCCCACGCCCGCGGAATCGGCCTCATCTGTGGGGTTGGCCCAGGCCAAGGGAAACAGGCCTGGAAGCCCACGCCGCCCAGCCTTGGCCTTGCAGAGCCCAGGCTGGTTCCGGCTGCCCCCGCTGGTGTCAGGACCGTCCGTGGCTGTGTCCCGAGGCCTCTCCTTGCCGGGGCCTGACGGGGTCTGTGCGGGCGTCCGAGCCGCTGCGGTGTGCCTGCGCCTTCTGTGGGCGCTTGGAAGGCCTGTCAGTGCTCCTGCTGCCTTCTGGAGCTGCGAGGGAGGCTGTGGAGGAAGCAAGAGTGGTTAATTAAAATGTTAATAGGATTTATGGAGGATTAGCGGGGGAAATGTATGCAGGAATCTGGAGTGGGGCACAGCGAGGCCACAGAGGCTGTCTGGGGTCTGCTAGGCCGACTGCCGAGGCGCCCCATCTCCCGCCTGCGGGGCGCCCCAGGTCGTGTCCCAGCGGCCTGGGCCTCCGGGGGCAGGAGGCCACGTGCCCGTCTTTGGCCGCGCCCCAGGCCCTCCGCCCACCACTGCTGTGAGCGCCCCAGGGTCCCACTTGTCTCCCTTGCTGAGGGGGAGCCTGAGGCCCTTCAGGGGGCTTGGGGCTGGGGCTCAGGGGCCTCCCTTGAGGCCGCTCTGACTCGGGCATCGCGGAGGGCCCCTCTCATGCGCGTCCAGCAGAACCCGCTTCTCCTGGAGACAAAGAGGTGGCTGGTGTCAGCAAGCCCCAGCCCAGCCCGCGTCGCCTGCTGCCCCAGGCTAGTGAGCTCCTGCCCCGCCTCCTCGCCTCCCGCTGGGGCAGCCGCCTGGCCTCTGTGCAGCCTGCCCGTGGCCCCTGCGGGACCCTGTTCGGGGGCTCCCTGCACACGCTCCGCAGGGAAGTGGCGTGCCCGGGGCGTCCATGCGAGCCATGGACTTGGCTCCGAGTGCGGAGCGTCCAGCCAGGCCAGTGCCGACGTCTGCCTTGTGGGGGCGGGTACCCCCAGAGCCAGTGCCAAGCGGCTCCGGATTCTGCCACTTTTCTGCCTGTGCGTGTGCGAGGTAGGCCTGCCCAGGAGACGCGCACCTCGGTGCCACTGGGCGAGCGGGCACTGCGCGCCTCCCCAGGCAGCACCCCGCCCTCTCGTCCAGCCTGGGTGCTGGGAGGCCCCGCACCAAGACAGCCCTCCCTCCCTGCTCCCTCGCCGTGCGGCCCCCGCGTCCGCGCCCAGACACCGCTTAGGAAAGACAGTGTGTTGGGGGGTTGCTGGCCACCCGGGTGACCCGTGCCGTGCGGCCTCTTGGCTGCGGTTTCCGGTCCAGCACCAGCCTGGGTGGGGCTGAAGCGCGTTCTTTGGATGCACTTAACGTCTCAGTCAGCTGGCGTGAGGTGTGCGGACGCCTCCCGGGCGGGGCTCGCCCTGCAGTGCTGGCTTCCAGGGAGAAAGACGGGCTCTTGCCGCACCCGGGCCGCACCCGGGCACAGGTCAGCCCTTCCTGGCCTCCAGGCCGGGGCTGCCAAGTTCAGAATCGCTGCACGGGGATCTCCGGGCCCGCTCCTCTCACAGAACCTCCCCCTCAACCCCCGCCCGCCGTCCAGCGTGGTCTCCTGCCCGCCTCCTCCGCGCGTCTCGCCGTCTGCCGTCCGCCTCACACCCTGCGGGCTCTGCGTCAACGTCGTGACCGTCCGGCGCGGCGTACTCCAGGCACACGTTCTCCAGTAGCCCCGAGGTGGCGCTGGCCAGAGCTGCCTGAGCCTTCTCGCCCGGACCTCCCTGGGGGGCCTGGGCACCCTCAGTTCGGGCCAGGGCTGTGGCCTTCACGAGGGCAGAGTCGGTGTGAGGCTTGGGGCGGCCAGGTCTCCTCAGCAGCCACTTTGGGTCGGGCTGGCGTCCGTCCTCAACTTGGCCGGCCCCGTTTCCAGACCCTTCTCTGCTCATCCAGGCCGGCGCCTGTGCTCCCGGGGCTGCTGGCTGGCGTGCTCGGCGGGGCCTGGGCCCAGCGGGCTCTCTGCCTCCCCCAGGGGGGCTCCAGGAGCAGCAGGCGGCCCCCAGTGGGCTCCTTCCTCCAGCAGGGCAGGCGCCCTGGTGAGCGAGACGCCGTGATGCAGACCCCCCCACAGGTCCTCTTCTGAGCGTCCTTGACCTCGAAGCTGCGCTCTCTGCCTCCAGGCCGCCTGGGGCTGCCTCCTCGGCCTTCACAGGGTCTGCTCCCTTCTCTGCTCAGGGCCCCACTGGCCTTCCCGGCCCACACCTCCATCTCCTCACGCCCAGCGCCGGGTCCAGCCATACCTACATCCTCTCAGGCTCTCAGCACTGGCACCCCACGTCCCCTGGGGGCTGGCCTGCCCCACTGTCCACCTGCACCCCCGGCTGCGGCGCCCTAGGCTCGGAGGCCGTGCTCCTTGGCGCTGCTCCTTGGCAGTGGGGGCACAGGCCTGGGTGAAGACAGGCCTCTGGCACGTGGCCACTTGGGGCGTGGACGGAGGAGCCAGCCCTGCATGGACGGCTGGGACTCAGGGTCGACCCTGCAATGGCCAGGGACCCTGGGCACCGGCCGCGAGCCTGAGAAGCGGGGTCTGTCCCCTGAGGGAGACCCCCTCGGCCAGCAGCGTCAGAGCCTCTCCTGACCAGAGGGTCGCCCGACAGACACGGCAGACCGGCCTTGCTGACCGCCGTCCCCGCTGGGAGCCAGCACGCAGGACACTCAGCAGCCGTCTCCAGAGTGATGGGTGAGGGTTTGATGGCCAGGCCTCTCTCTGCCTGCGGCGACGCCGACACCGTGGCGAGAAGCCTCGGCCCCAGCGTCCGGGCCGCGCCCAGGGCCCTTCTCAGTGCTCCGCTGGCCGGCCCCGGCGCCCTCCCTGGCGTTTCCTGCACCGTCTCTGCTTCGCCGGAGGCGGCCGGGGCCGGGGTGGCCCACTGCGTCCGCCCTCCCGCTGCCCGTGCTCCGTACTGAGGCGGCCACGCGCCCTGGGCTCCGGGCTGCGCCCCGGCCCTCTGGGCATGGGGTTGGGGCTTAATGACGAATCTGCTCAGAGCCGTCCGGGGCGGCCGTGTCTGCCCGTCTTCTCATCTCCATGGCAACGACAGCGTTTCCGCATTTACATGGACAGCGGCGTCTTTGCTGTTCCTCCAGCACCAAGCGCGCCGAGCAGGGGACGCCGGCCGGGGATGCTGAAGTTGCCAAGACAACCGGGGCCGAGGATGCCCTCCCTGGCGCAGCCGACGGGAGTGAGACGGATTCCGCCTCCTGCGTTCCCGTGGCCGCTGCTGTCCATGGAGGTAACAGCCCCACGTGCCCGGGGCCCGGCCGACGGCCCCCGTGTGGTGCCCTTAGCGCACCCCCTCTCGGGCGGGCACCCCGCAACGCCGCCCCCGCGCTGCCATCCCCAGCCCTGCCCAGCCCCGGCGCAGTAGTCTCTGCTCTCCCGCCTGCCGCGGGCCAGTTGCGTCCACCCTGCCAGTCCCTGCGCTGCTAGCCGGGTCTGTGCCCTCCCGGGCCATGCGGCCGGCGTCTCCCGAGGGGCACCCCCCAGGCCTGTGCTGGCTGCATGTCCGCCGGCCCCTGCACGGGGACAGCCACGGTGTGGGGCAGACGTGGGCCACGCGTCTCCCCACCCCCAAGGCCCTAGGGTTCTGGGCCACTGGGCCCCAGCACATCTGTCTGGGTCGTGGACCGGGTTTAGAACTGACCCGCGTCCACCTCACCACTGCGGGCCGGGCCAGCCAGGGCAGCAGCGTGAGCTGGCGCCGCCCTCCAGAGCAGGCCCCTCTGGGCTGCGCCCCAGGCCTTTGGGAGCCAGGCGGCCTCCCCAGCCTGGCTGTGGACCCCCGGCCAGGCCCAGCGCAGTGGGGGTGGCCCCTTCTCGCGGCTGTAGCCTGGCTCCAGCCGGGGCCTCCAGGTCCTGGGAGCTGCGGGAACAGGGGTAGGACGTGGATGCAGGAGCCAGACTGTGACCTCCCGTCAGGCAAGGCCCCTCCAGGGCTGGGCCTGGTGAGACTTCCCCTTGCTCCACACCCAGAAAACCAGCCTGGACCCCACTTGTGTGGAGCCCTGCACTTGAGCAGAGCTGAGCAGAGCTGAGCAGAGCCCACCTGGGTGTCTGGGGCCTCTTTCTGCTCAGAGCCCAGGGGGCAGGGTTGGGCCAGGTAGGGCCGGGCAGGTAGGGGCGGGCACGGGGTGGGGGTGGGGCCCACCTGGGGTGCCTGGGGACGGGAAGAGCCCACGGAGTGATGTCCTCTGTGTGGACCTTGCAGGCTTTGCCGGGAGGGCACCCAAGCGACAACGGGTGTGTGGCCGCGGGCAGTGCCTCCGCCTTCCGGGGCTTGGACCAGACAGGGCTGGGGAGGGCTTGGGCCTCGGTGCCGTCTCGCGGGGATTCTGGCTGCGGGTGTGACATTCGCGGCCCCGGAGCAGCTTTTCCGGACCGTCTGTAGAGAGACCGCGAGACACGCTCCGTCCGAGGGCCTGGCCTGGCCCTCCGCGCGGCACTCTCCTGCCAGCAGGGCCCGGCCTCGGCAGGCAGCTGCCACCACACGCGGGAGCTGAGCTGCCCCTCGTCAGCGGAGACTGCGGGCAGGCGTGCGCCGGGGTGACTGACTCGGGGAGGAAAGGCCGGAGGAAGCGCGTGCAGGCGCGCGGCCTCCTCACACCCCGGCCGCGGCCCTCTCCTCCCGGAGCCCAGCGCCCGCGGTGGCCGCCTGTCAGCAGAGCGCGTGCCGGACACACCCGCCCGTCTCCCGGGCGTCCGGCCACTGCGGCGGAGAGGAGAGGGTCTCGCAGGCCGGAGCAGGCTGTGGGGGGCGGGGGGGGGCCTCAGAAGTTAAGTGAAGTTTTGGGAGCATTTCTTGGTGAACACGGGACTTGGAGAAGTCGCAGGGGCGCCCTGCAAGACCCCACACTGCCTCGGGGCCTGCCCCGGCCGGGGCGCCCACTCTGGGCTGCGAGGGTGGCCTCCTGCCCTCTGGGGCGAGACGCGGGAGAAACGGGGGTGTTCGGCCCCCGGCAGGCCTGACTCCACGCTCCTGCTTGAATTCGCTCAGTTGATTCCTGCCTCCGGGCATCGTCCCCGTCCCGTTGGGTGTTTAATTTCCTCTCTAACAGACGGGCCGTCCTGGGCGGCAACACAAAGCCGTGAGACTCACAGAAACGTTTGTCTCGCTCAGATAAACATCGCGGGGGATTGTGGGCGGGATGCGCTTATCACACGCTCGGGAGGGGCCGGCCGGGCAGAGTCAAGCCAGTCACGCTGCCTTAAAAGAGCGCGGAGCCGTCCCCTTCGCCGCGCGGCTCCTCGGTGCTGGGGATACGGAGCCGCGGCCGGCGGCCAGCTTCCCCTCTGTCATTCCGAGGCTGCGGCGTGCGTCCCTGAGGGGAGACCCTGGCCGCGCGGGCGTCCCCGGGGCTCCTCTGCGAGCCCGGCATGGAGCGCTCGACGCAGAGCCGCTCCTGGTCGTTGTGAGCGCGGCGTCCGGGCTGGCCGCGTGGGGCTCCGGGCGGAGGTGGGCCCGGAAGGGGGCGAGCGCGGCGTGAGCGTGCGGGGGTGCCGCGGGCCAGGCTGTGGCGGGGCGGGCGGGCCCGCGTCTGGGGCTCCAGCCGCTCTTCCCCGGGGTGTCTGCCCTCTGCCCTGCCCGAGCCCCGACGAGCCGAGGAGCTGGCGCGGGGCTGGGACGGCTGCTGAGGGCCGTGGCCGCAGCCTCCGGAGTGTCTGGCTCAGGCCCGGAGGGAGCGAGTCTTCTCTCTTCCCTCCTCAGTGCGAGGACAAGGCCCAGAGGCCCCTGGTGCCAGCGGGCGTGTCGGGAGGACCAGGCAGTGGGGCCGTCCGTGGTCACGACATCTGGGGACGGCCGGGCCCGCTCCGGCCCGCAGGGGCCTCTGTGCCGCCCGTGCCCGGCGGCCGTGCCCGGCCTCCAAGCCCTGCCTGTGCACCGGACCACCCGGCGCAGCCCCTTTGTCTGGAAGCTGAGACCTGGCGTCGGGGACAGGCAGCCTCCGCAGCAGCCCCTCACCAGCCTGCGTCCAGCGCCCCCTCCCTCCGCTCTGACCCACGGCGCGTCTGTGACGAGTGTGGGCCCGCGGGGTTCCGTCTGGGGTCCGCCCTGAGCCTGGTCCGGGGTCCCGGGTCCGGTCCCGGGGCGGCGCTGCAGGTGCCGAGCTCCGGGCCACCCTCCAGAGCCCTGGCAGGGTCCCTGGTGGGAGGTGCCGCTGGGGGGCGGGGGGCGGGAGCCCAGGATCCGGGGAGCGCGCAGAGCGGCGAAGCCAATTTACTTCGCACAATGTGAGACGGGCGCTGATTTCCCCCTTGAGAAAATAACCGTCTCCCGACCGTGTTTGTTGGTTCTCCCGCGCTTTGTTGAGCGTTGAGTGACTCCGGCGTCTGTATTTGTGGGAAAGAGTCTTAAGTGGCTCTTCAAGGAGCTAAAAGAGCTAAATCACTTATTTGGTCTCAAAATATCAGTCACGGTGGCTCTGACGTGACAGCGAGTGGGACGGGGCGAGGCCCCCGTCTGCAGCCCGAGCAGGGCCCAGCCAGGAGGACGCCGAGCGGGGTTCCACTTTGCTTGCACGCGCACACGGGGCAGCCGCGCTCACCGAGGCACGCCTGACAGGAGCACACGCGCGGGCACACGCGGGCACACGCGGGCACACGCGGGCATACTGCCCGTCTCAGGAAGCCTCGCTGGATGCCCCACGCAACCCCCAAGGGTGGCATCCGCACCCCACGCAGAGGCCGGGGTGTTGACGAGGAGGGGGCCGCTCTTCTGTGGGTGACTTCCTGCCTTGGTGAGCCTCTCGGCAAGTTCCCCTGGAGGCGGGACTCTGTCCGTGCGTCCCTGCGTCGGTGCGTCCCTGCGCTGTGCCGCGGCGGGGGCTGCGGGCCGGGGGTGGGGGCTGGGGCGGCCTGGCCTGTTCTGGGAGCTGCCCTCCCCACGCCCTAGCGTCCACCATGATGCCTGGATAGCAAAGCCCAGAGCCAGGGTGGCGCATGGAGCCTGTCCAGCTCCTCCCGTGTCCAGCTCCCCTCTGTGCCCTCATGATCGCAGGGACGGAGCGGGAGGCCGAGAGCCGGCCCTGGCCATGGGGTGTGTCGCGGGGCCCACGGGGGCTCCTGGGCAGTGCCCACCTGGAGGGGAGGCTGTGCAGCGAGTGCAAGGACCGGCTGGGATGGCCTCGCTCGGCCGCTCCTGGCGACGGGACCTTTCCTCCCGCTCGCCTCGGTCACCAGCCACAGCGCCAGCACCCGCGTTGCGCTGCCCCCGCCCTGTGACCCTTCCTTTGAGAGTCTC